TATTTATTTATATTTATTTATTTATGTATATTCATATGACTATACATGTATTTACACCCACACCCACATGTCAGAACTTGGGACAGGACCGCCACTGGCACTCCCGGAAGATGACCCCGTGTGAGGCTTCTGCTTCTTCTCGTCGGCAGCCTTGTCCACGGCGTCCACCACTGAATCTCAGAGTTTTCCGAACAAGTGAATGGCACAGTAGCACTAGCGAGCCCCCGATGCCTTAGGGCTGGACCATCCAGGCGAGACGGCGACTTGCGCTTCTTATCACCCTTGTCGTCATAGGCTTCCAAAAACCTCTGGATGTCCTCCTGCTCCTCCAGGAGATACTCCTTCCTGAGAAGGGCTGACCGATTCTTTTGTTGGCTACAACCGCTCAGCGTGCAAGCTGTGCACACTGATTCTGTGTGTTGCTGTCCGAGGGGCTCGACCTCCAGCTGCTTCAGCTTATCCTGGTTTAGCTTCAAGGAGTCGCGGAGCGAGTTCATACGACGGCGATCGAACATCGCCGCATAGCCTGTCTTGGCAGTCTCCGTGATGAACAATGTTGCTTTCACCTTCAGCAGCTGCTCCGGCTGCGGCTTCGGTGTTGGCGAAGTCCAGAACTCCTGGGCGCGACAACGAATCCCACAACAGGTGCAGGACAAAGCTGATTAAAATATGGATCCCTCCCTGCTGCCAACAAGTCACACCCAGCGGTGATACGAATAGATCTACCGGCCAGCTGCTGGATGGCTGGTGCCTGAATCTGTGCTGCTCAAGCTGGAAGGTGCCTTGCTTTCCACCCTGCGCGAAGAACGCCAAAATCGCCGCCTGCTCCAAGGACTTGAACCAGATACCGTCAGAAGCACCGAACTTACGAAGGGCATTCTTCTGCAAAACAGATGTGAGTCGATTGTGCAAGCTCTCCGGAAGCACTTGAAAGAATCGCCATGGGAGGTCGTTGTCCACGGCTCCATCATTTTCCCACTCTTCTTTCACTGTGATGACTGCGGAGAAAAAGAAGCACTCGACGTGCCTACGGCCAGCGATGGGGCCCAACGCCATGAACCTCCCGCCAGGCTGTGTCTCGACGAGCCGGTTGCCGACGGCTTCCATGATGTTGGTGATACGCACCTCCATGAGGAAGCAACAGGTTGAAAGGCTCACCTGGCCCGCATTGGATCTGCGCTTCTGGATGCCTTTCGGCTCAGAGTCGGACAGCGAGAAGCCCAGCCTTGGATTACGGTGTCACACGGCAGCATATTGACTGACCCGTGCTGACGACAAGTCACATGAATTCAGGTGTGTAGCTTCCTGACATCAAACCGGCTGGCATCGGCTATGCTCTCTTGCACAGTTGGCGCGAAGACCATACCAGCGGAGGCATCCGTGGTGCTCATTGTCACGACAGCGAATCCGTTCATGATTCACTCGATGACTGTGACTCACTCAATCACTGGGCTTGGGCAATCACTGGCAGCTACTTTTGCAGATGGAGCGATGCATGTGAGGTGCCGCTGATGAAACTAATCAACATGTGCACTACTACAAAAGCAGGCAACGGCTGTGAAGAAACCATCATTTTGCACCC